ACATACTATTTTCATGTATCAAATTACAAATATTTTAAAATAATACTCCATGCTGGCAAATGTAACCCATTGCTGTTCAATTTTTTTTACTCATGACAATCCTATGTGTTTCAGAGTATGTGCTCCATAGGGTTTCTATAGATGTGATTTTTTAAAAGTAGATTCTAAGCTTCTGAGGCATGTCTGGGTTGGTAAAAACACTTTTAGGTTAGTAGCTGAACACTTAACCATTTATGCCACCCAGGGCTCTATAGTGTAATAGGTATTAGTGAAAATTGCTCAATTCTTTCTAGAAAGCAATTTGATCAACATAAACATTTGTATTCTATGTATAAGTATATACACACCACAGAGTAAATGTATGTGTGTTTATATATATATATATATATATAACTTAAAAAACCAAGCCCACTGTCATACAGTTGATTCCAACTCATAGTGACCCTTTGTAAGGCTACCAAGGTTGTATATCTTTAGAGGAGTAGACAATCTTATCTTTCTCTCACAGAGCAACTGGTGGGTTTGAACCACTGACCTCTGGTTGGAATTTCAATGCTTACCTGACCGTACTGATTGGAAATCCGTTCATATACATATGTATACACAAAAATTATATGCATATATAAATGCACAGATATATACTACATATACAAGATGGTTTCAAAGTGTTCATGGAAAAATGTTATCTTTTCATTACATTTTTCTATTACTATCTTGATGCTTCCGTGTGCGTGTGTACACACAAACAACATACATATCCTAATTTAATTTACCCGTTAAGTCTTGTCATTTTTGTCCAAAATATATGTCTAGTCCAGTCATTCTTTTCTGTTTCCACTACTAGCACCCTAAATTAAGCCAACTCTTTCTCATTTTTTGAATCTCTGTATTTGCTATTTAATTCATTTCCTCACTTCTATTCTTGGCCCCTTCTAAGCCATTCTCATCATAACACAAACCAGCTAATTTCTTACCTTGCTTTGTACACTTCAGTAGTTTTCCACTGCACTTAAGACTAAAATCCCAATTTTTATTATGTCTACTGGTTCTTTCTCTGACTACTAACATCATTTCCTGCCATTCTTCCTTTTTCTCACCAGGATCTAAAGATACTACTACTCTTCTTTTCATTCTCTAAGGATACCATTACTTCCTATCCTTAATTGTGTGTACATGTTTTCTCTTCCTGTTCTTTCCCAACTATTTGTATGGCTGCATCCTCTCTTCCTTTATATCTCAGATTATATGTAACCTTTTCAGATGTCTTCGTTGACTAGCTGATCTAATGTTCTTTTTCTTTACTTTAGCTCCTTTGAGTTTCCATTATAATCCTTTTCACAATCTTCAATTATCAAAATTTATCTATGTATTTTTCTTCCCATTATCTATCCCCCAAGAATATGGGTTTCGTAAAAACAGAATGGGGTCTATCTTGTTCACCAAAGGATCCCTTGGCACATAATGTGAACTCAATCAGTGCTTTCTGAATAAATGTATACTCATATACATACAAAAGTAAGCAGATACACATATACATATAATTATGTGCAATATGATGTGCACATACACATATACAAGTATAAATGCACATAAAGATAGAGAAAGAGATCTTAAATACACAGATAATTTGGAAGAAAACAAGCTACAATATTAACAGTGATTGCCTCTATATAGGAGATACTTTTTGTTTCATGATCTCTGTGATAATTTGGTTTTGTGTCAACTTGTATGGGTCAGTATCTTCAGTGGTTTGGCAGTTAAAGCATAGTAATCCCCCATGATGTTATGTAATACAATGTAATCAACTCCATAATGGAATCTGCTATATGTAGTGAATCAGTTATAAATGATTAGGGGAGATTGCAACCCCCTTTCTTAGGTCACTGCCCTGATGCAAATGAAAGGAAATTTCCTCAAAGGTGTGGCCTAATTCCAATATAAATGGTGGCTGTGGGAAAGCTTGCTTACTTCTTGCAGGATCTCAATCTTGCACCTGGCTCATTGATCTCTGGTTCTTTGAATTTGAGTCAATGGCCCACCATATTGACTGAAGAGGCTGGATGATATCAGCAGCCTGTCATTTGACCTGCTAACCGTGAATTTATTGAACTCTGCAGCTGCAAGCTTGAACTGCTCTCTTCTTGCTCCCTGGTTTGTCTTCCTGCCTTCTGGTTTCTCAGCCCCCGCAATCATGTTAGTGAGGGATACCTCCAGCTTAACATCTGACCCATGGACTTGAACTGGATTGATTCACTTCTATAATTATGTGAGCCCTTGTCTTGAAATAAAATTTTCATATAAAAATATAAACTTCATATACATATAATTATACATAATTATAAATTTTATAAATAATATACATATAAATTCCACTCATTCATAAGTTATATGTATATAACTATTTTTTCTTCTCTAAAGAATGCAGCCTAATAATCTCTTTGACTGTTTTAAAATTTTTCTGCATGGTTAATTTTATAATAAAAATGAAAGTTGCTAAATCTAATATATTTGTTGAATTAAAATATATCATCTTTTGTAATAAATTATGGAGGTTTACACTGAGATAATTTTAGATGATTTACACTGAGATGATTTAATAGTAGAAATAGTAGAATGGGTAATCATTGATCGAAAGGGTCATGAGTTACTAGTGTATGATGCATACTCAAAATAATCTCTGAAAGCAAGAATGGAATACAGGTAAAGAAGTAAAATGAACACTAACAAAAAACTAAAGTAAGAAAGAGAGAGAGAAAAAGAGGGCGAAGGAAAGAAACTGACAGAAAGAGGAAAAGAGGGAAAAATAATTGAGAAAGCAAGAGAATAATGTCATATAATTCAGTATGCCTGTTTTCATGAATACCAATATTAATCACTAATGTTTTTCACTCTTTGAGAACACAATTTTATGGCCCAAGTTCTCCATATGGAATCTACATTTGGTAAGTAATTTTAGACCATTGATCCATAGATAGAACTTACTGGTTCTACAATATTGAACTTCTTTGACTCCTGAACTTCCTGGATTTGATAAACATATTCAAGAGATGACTCAAAGAAATTGTGTCTCTCCTTGTCCACCTGGAGGTCTGCCTGTAGAAGGAGGGTACAATATGTTACAAAGAGGAACAGTGTTTAAAAAAAAGAGGCACAGTGGTTCTCTCAAGTTACTGTTTATGGACACAACAAAATAATAGAGGTTATAGCAGTATTTAGACACCAAGTAGTAATCATATTGCTTTATTTTATAGAAAGTGAGAGATAAACATTTACTGTCCTAAGGCTCTGTTTTTATCTTAAAAGTACAAAGGGTACTTATTTCTGTGTCAGAAAAAACAAGAGGGATGCCTAGCAACAGCACCAAACTGCCAGGATCCTCCAAAAAATTTCATAGCAAAAACCTCTGAAAGAAAATCAACTTAGAACTCTGTTGGGTCCCTAAGACCATCTAAGTCAAACACAAGGATAAAATGTGTTACAGTTCAAGGATGCAAACCAAAATCAGTAAAGTGTATGAGAGGAAACCAGGTTCAAACATCCAAGAGTCCTCTCCCAGGGGAGTCACATAGAACATATTTAAATCCGATGGAAATAAGTTGTGGCAACATTTGTAAAATACTCTATACCAGAAAAGCTCACTAGAGACTGAGTGTTCATAGGTTTCATTGGATGATTACCAAGCATATACCAAAATCCAGGCTCCCAGAAGGAAACAAAATACTTAGTATAAACCACATCATTTGTAAACACCGTTTAGATAGAATGAGCCCCTCTTGGCCATTTAGAAAAAGTGTGTACATTAATGTATGGCACTGTTTACTGTCCAAGCATCAGGACACCAGCCTAAGGCAGATACTGTAAGCAAGCCTTTCTAAGGATAGCAGTTTCAGGCCTTCTGTGTTAACTCTTTTCTTCACAGAAAACCTGGTGCAAAATGGACCCCAAAAAGGGAAAGAAACAAAGGTACATAAAAGAAAATTGGCAGAAGACTCCAAAACTAGTATTTCATTTTAGTTTATGAAAGAGAAGCACCATTACTCACATTCATTAAACTAACTTTACCTTCCACTCAAGTTCTTGTGTGATGTGATATGATGTGATGTGAATCTACCAAACCAAGAGTTTAGAGCAATGTTTTCCAAAGTGGGCAGTACCACTAGAATGATCCAGGGGAGCTGCAAAAGCAGATACATACACTTTATCCTGGATTATGGTCTATAGTACAAAAGTTTTTAATGCTGGAGTGAGGGTGTTGTGAAAAATACTGGCTTACTTGAATAAAAACCACCACCAATTTCATGCTATCAGTAGGAATTTGCAAGTGTAAAATATAAAATAAAAGCAAATGCTGATATAAAGGGAATTTCAAAAGTTCCTGGAAATTTTTCAATGGTTTTTAATTCCATTTGCCCATAGAAATGTTGAAGCCCCTTTGCATATCTCACAGGGAAAAAGGTAGAAGACCAGTATCTCATTTACCAAATATAATACTAGTTTAACTATCTAAAGTTTAATAACTCTAGAATCAGAGTTCTGAATAAGTGAAAGGCACTCTGGAGACCACTGAGTTCTAGCCCTTCGTCTTAGAGAGGCCAAGAGGCCATGGTCACACCGTGAGTTAGTGGAGGAGTTATCTTGAAAACCTAGTCTCCTGAGTTCTGGGCAATGGTTTTAAATGCATGTGTTATTACACTTGGTTCCAAGCTGAGGCAGAGTATGAGAAAAGAGTTGTATTAGAAAACTGCCATTCTTTCCAAGGCATACCTGGCAATGGAAAGTGGAGGAGAGAGATTCTTTTAAACATACCTCTTGTAACTGGGATTCTTTCTTTTTGGAAGACAGATGTAAATGGCGGTCCAGCAAAGAATAAAACCTCTCACCATCCTTTTCAAATTTTTTTTTCCGTTCCTTGACATGGGAGACAAACACAGATTGAGATGTTTGTAATTTTAACTGTCTACTAAAAACCGAGAAACTATGCCAGGTGTCCTATGGTTAATCTTTCTAGATTCTTGAATGGGAAATAAAAAGCAATAGAGAATTTGGTTTTACATTGGTTTAAAATTCCTTGAAAGCATCCTGCTTAAACACAAGGTGATTACTCTGGATACAATTAAAATCTGGGAGATGTTGCTCAGAAAGTGACACATAAACAAGAACTCTATGTTAGCTGCATTTTGTTTCTCCAGTACTTTCCATTAATCATTCAACTTATTTAATTTTTTTAAAGAGGAAGGAACATGGGAATGAACTAAATATATGTGTTTAATAGGTTGACCTACAATTTATTTAGACAGCCTAGTAATACAGAATACATTTTTCAAGGCAATAGAAATCTGAGGCTACTTCTGTGAATAATGAGTTCATAGGTCACAACTGAATTAAACATTTCATGGCTGCATATAAAATGATGTTAATAATGACAGAAAATAATAGTTGCTGCTTATGTGCATACAACCAAAATTCTCATGGGTTTTGGTTCATTGTTTTGGAGGTTTAGGTTCATGGTTTCAGAGGACATCCAAGTGAACTGCCCTAATAACATGTTTAGTGATTTCACTCTATTCCCCACATTGGTGCATAATGCTGCGGTCTTAAAAGCTTTCAAGAGGTTATCCAAAGCATAATTGCTTACTAGTTGCCTGGATCAACAGAGGAAGGAGAGTCAGGAATAGGAGGAAGTAAAAACATGTATGGCTAATTTCCTCCACAAGCAACTGCCTCCTTTGCTATGAAAACATAACTACATGGTGTTCCACTACCACTACTAAACATTTTGATCAAAGATTCCACAGAAGGTGGAAAATTCAGAACAGGATTTAAAATTCTCATTGACTCCAGACTTTCTGAAGGCAAGGAGATTAGACACTGGGGAAAAGGGGATTTCAAAGTTCATGGGGGGAAAAAAAATCACTGTTTTTTAATTCCAATTGTGCACAAAAATTTGGAAGGCCCTCAAAACTGTCACCCTGAGATAAATTTTAAAACCTAAACACAAAGCATCCGCCAACAGCTTGCTAAAACAAAACAAAAACATCGTTTAGATCAGTGGTTCTCAACCTGTGGGTCCCGACATTTTTGGGGGTCAAACAACCCTTTCACAGGGGTCCCATAAAGGCTGGCTCTAATTTTCCTCTATGTGATTATCCTAAATTCTTTTCAACTCACCTCCTTTGATCTCCTGTTCTCTATAAATTTTATTTCCCTAAATAAAACCTATTAATTAAAAATCTCGCTGCGTCTCTCATCTCTAAAAAACCTCACAGAAAGTTGTTAACATGGTGCATATATTGCTGTATATGTTCTCAACAAAAACAAAAATAGTATATGATAATGGATGGGAGGAACAGGTTTCCTTGAAGGTTTAACTGGAAAATGAGAGCTGAGAAGCTTCACTGCTCTCCAGTAGGAAATTTAATTAAGCTCTGTGCATCTCAGCAAAATGGAAAAACTTACAGCCTCTAATTGAGCACTAATAATGTTCATTTGTCACAGATTAATGCTGAAATTGCACTCCTCTCAGCACAATGCTGGGATTTCCTTGTAGAGAGCTTATTTCCACTAATGAGAAATCTAAACTCATTGAACAGCCACAATGCACTACAAAAACAACAACAACAACAACAAAGAGAAACCAAACCTACTGCCATAGACCACCACTTCTGTCAGTCTGTTGTATTGTGATGGTTTAATTGCTTAAGTGTTTATGTGATGCTATAACTGTGTCAGGGACACATGACTAAAGAAGAGTTGCCTTCTAAAAATAGATTTGACCATAATGATGGGGGTAGAATAAAGCTTTGGGAACCTTCACTTGGTGATAAGCCAGACTCAAAATGAGGAGAAATAGTTGAAAATATCTTTTAATAATCAGAACCTGAAATGTATGAAGTATGAACCTAGAAAAATTGGAAATCATCAAAATGAAATAGAACACATGAAGATCAATATCCCAGGCATTAATAAGCAAAAATGGACTGGTATTGGCCATTTTGAATCATCATGATAATTACATGGCTTACTATGCCAGGAATGATAAATTCAAGAGGATGGTGGTACAACCATATCAAAAAGAATATTTCAAGATCTACGTACCTTAAAACTAAAATACACATACAAGAAAATCGAGTTAATACAATTATTATTCAAATTATGCACATACTTTTAAAACTAGTGATGAAAAAAATTGAAGAATCCTACCAACTTTTAGTCTTAAATTGATGAGACATGCAATCTATATGCACTGATGACTACAATGCAAAAAGTTGGAAACAAAGAGAAGGAACAGTAGTTGGAAGATAAGGCCTTGGTGATAGAAATGCAGCCACAAATTGCAATATAGAATTTTCTAAACCTAATGACTTCATTGTGTTTTTCTCAACTATATAAATGGAAACTAAATACATTGTTTTGAAAGATGAATATACAGAAACCAAATTGATTATATATATGGGAAGAGGCAATAGGAAAGCTCAGTAGCTTTTATAAGTAGCAATCATGAGGCAAGGGGCTGACTGTGGAAGAGAACATCAATTTGTTCATCTGCACATTCAGGTTGAAGTTAAAGAAAAATTTAAAAGGTCCACGAGAGCCAAAATGCAACCTAGAGTATCCAACCTGAATTTTGAAAACATCTCAAGAAGAGAATTAACTGAACACTAATGACAGAAAACCTGATAAGCTATAGATGACATCAAGAAAATAATATATGAAGAAAGCAAAAGTTCATTAAAAATACAGGAAAGGAAGAAATAATCAGCACGGATGCCAGAAGAGAGTCTGAAAACAAGCTCTTAACTGTAGATCAGCTAATGGCAACTTTTATTTATTTATTTTTTAAGATTGCCCTTCAATTTTCTTGAAGGACAAAGGGAAATCATGGGGGCTTCTTAGGAAGAAGTTTAAAGAAAATTGAAAATTGTATTGATGAAACAAGGACAGAAAATTTGTGCCAAGGATTCCCCCATGCCCCCACCCCATCACAAGGAACTACCTACTTATTCTTTGAGGTTAGAAAATGTTGTCCCATGAGAATTGCATTGGAAAATCATACCCTATCCACCCTAATATCCTCTAACTATAACCCCTTCAGACTACTTTCTGTTCCCCAAACTCAAAGAACATTAAAAAGGAATGCATCAGCAATCACAAGCAAATGTGATGAAGAAAGCTGATGGTACCCAGCTATCGAAAGATAAAGAGTCTGAGGTCTTAAAGGCTTGAAGATCAACAAGCAGCCATCTAGCTGAGAAACAACAAAGCCCACATGGAAGAAGCACATCAACCTGTGTGATCACAAGGTGCCAAAGGGATCAATCAGGCATCAAAGAACAAAAAACATATCATTGTGAATGAGGGGAAGTGCAGAGTGGGAACCCAAAGCCCATCTGTAGGCAACTGGACATCCCCTTACAAGAAGGGTCACAGGGAGGAGACGAGCCATTCAGGGTGCAGTGTAGCAATGATGAAACATACAACTTTCCTCTAGTTCTTAAATGCTTCCTCCCCCCACCCCTCCCCCCACCACCACTATCATGATCCCAATTCTACCCTACAAATCTGGCTAATCCAGAGGATGTACACTGGTACAGATAGGAACTGGAAACACAGGGAATCCAGGACAGATGATCCCTTCAGGACCAGTGCTGAGGGTGGCGATACCAGGAGGGTGGTGGGTGAGAAAGGGGGAACAGATTATAAGGATCTACATATAACCTCTTCCCTTTTGCAGTGCATTTCGGTCATTAGCAAAGTCTCTGTCTCTGGTCCTCAGTCTCTCAGCCACATGATTCCTTATTCTACTCTCTCTATGAGTCAGAAAGCCCATCTGCAGCTCTGACTTTCTCATAGTCTCTCTTCTGTTTCATGGTCTCCTTGCCTTGGACTCGGGTCTCAGTGTAGCATGGCCTCTATACCTCTGCCACATCAAACAGGGAGGGATCTTAAAAGTGCTCTACCAGTGGCTCTTCTTCCTTGATGGTCCCAGGAATTCTCTGTTCCTGCTTCTGAGATAGTTCATACATATAGCCAGGAAAGTGGCAACTAAAACTTACCAGTCCCCTTTGTTAGTGCTTCACAAACACTATTTGCATGGTTCCATTCAAACATTTGGTGAAAGTTACAGAGGCAGGAAATTCCACTGCACCATACCCATCAATAATTTTTTTTAATTTCTAACAGAGTATCATAATAGTGTTTTCATTAAAATATTCTACTGCATACCTAGGACTTTATTTTTCTGGACATGATAAGCCACACATCTATTTGTATATGAGTATGCAAAGTGTCACGTTATTTTTTTCTATCTGTCTTGATTATTTTCCCACAGTAGAATTTAATGTTTCTGAACATCAAATGTGCTGTACTTGGTTAAGAGATACAGCGTTCATGTTTTTTACTTTTTTTCCATGCCCTTAGCCAATTCCCTATTATTAAAGTCTAATTTTTGTACCCCTATAGCCTACTATATACTACTTGATATGATAAGGGATATAAACATTAACAGAGGTATCAAACCTTTTTATAAAATGGCTGAACTAAGGCTGAGAGCTTAAATTTAACCTTTCATATGGATTTACTTTATTCCCTAGACACTCAATATTACCTTTCCCTCCATCTACCTTTGTTGCCTAGAAATCAACTCATTTTACTGTGAAGCAAATTTGTTTGTTTGAGGTTAGGCTGAAGAATGTGAATGCTTTATGGAAACATTTTGACACTTTCAACAAAGTAACACTTTATAGAAACTCTTTGTTTCCATTATCCTCCAAAGTTCAAATGTTCTGAGCATGTGAATTGTTAAAAACTAATCCTGTAAATGTCAATCATGGCATTGCTTTATAACCAACAAGTAACCCTGTCCTAACCCCATGTCTTTCAATTACATCTCATAACCAATGAATCAATAA